CGTCAATTGGGGCATGGGTGTCTTCGCCGCCAGCAACAAGCGAACCTCTGGGAAAGGCGGGAAGTAAAAGCCCAGGAAGGACCTAGCCTCTAGGTGAGAGATATCTCAGGACGATACCTCAAGTGGTTCTAAGATACATAGGGCTTCCTCTCCCTATAACCGTCCGTCCATGGCCATATCCACCACGAAGCCATGAAACGAGGCCGCCAAAGAGCACCTCACGTAGGAAGTGTTGGAAAAGGGCCACCCGGACGCCCACATTAGTACGGACAACTGGAAGTTCGTCCTGATGGGTTTATGCAGAGTATAGAAAGGGATGATCCAGAAGTATCCCGGCCCTGCACCACTCGCCCGTGATCTCGGGTGGCCTCAAGGGCGAGTTAAACTGGTAGGGTGCGCAGATGAGCGCGCGGTCCATTTATACAAGGAAGCTATATCCACGGTTGGACAGCTGTGGCCCGGAGCTGACTTAGTTGCTGTCCATAGGGATGCAATCTCTAACAGGCCTAACATTGTTGAATTGCGCCAGATACAACGTGCACCGTCGAGATCGCGAGCGAGATAATGGTGGTGCAGTATTGTCTCTTCGAAGCAGAGGATACCATCCTAGAATGTCAGGGTATTGCTATCCGGTTAGGCGATGTCGAGCTCGAAAATTTTAACGTGTATATACCCCCTGTCACCAGCTGCCCGGAAGAATATTACCCTGAAATACATAGGTACGATCCTCAGGGGTGAAAACCGTCTGGTAGTTGGTGACTTCACTGTGCACCACGATGTTTGGCGTTCAAGCCCGTCAAACGATCGTAGGGAAATATAATTGGCTGAGCAGATAAATGATTCGAAATTCTGCAGAATGAACGACGACGCCCGAACGACCAGGATTATGGACAGCTGCTGCAGTTCGCCAGACCTAACAATTGTCAGCGCTGGTCTGATAAACAGCATATCATGGCGGCCTATGCTGACCTTAGCATCATAAAATCTGCCCATAGTCATCTCGATTTTATAAACCAGCCGACTTTGCTTCCGCGGATCATCGAACCTATGTCAACTTCTCCAAAGCCGACCTGCACTGCCCTACCCACACCAACCGACGTTCACGTAGGTGACTGTAAGTTTCGCAGGGTTGTCACTGCTGCTGCAGCCCGCTTCATTCCAGCGGGATGCATTTCGGACCCCGTCTAGACCTAGACGATGAGCGTGACAACCTTCGTCAGGCCGATCCCGGAAATCCCCGTATCAGGGATCTCAACTCGGAGATTCGGCAACTAGTGAACGTATATAAGCGGAAGAGCAATTGAAGAGCTGTAACTTCGCCTCTGGTGTGAGCAAGCTCTGATCGACCGTGAGGTCATTGGCCAACCCGACGAAGCGTGACGAAAGAGTTAAAATAAGTTTTGGCGACCACGCTTCGTCGGACCCGGAGCAATGCGCGAGCTATTTCAGCCGACAGTTCATACTGCACCCTCCGGTGGACATAGCCAAACGTCGAGTGATCAGAAGGCTGCACCAAGTGCCAACACCTAGTGCGCCTATTGTTTTCCCCAGCGGCGAGGTAAGGGTAGCCATCGGGAAGGCGAAAGCCTCCAAAGCCATTGGACCCGACGGAATTTGCATGTTGATGCTGAAAAATTTTGGTCCTGCGGGAGTGGACTATCTAATCAAGGTCCTCAACCTGTTAGTGGCCACTCTCATCATTCCAGACATCTGCAAAATGGGGAGAGTGGTCCCACTGCTTAAACCGGGGAGACCGTCCAACATAGGAGAGTTCTATCGCCCGATAACTCTCCTTTCCCCGGTAGCAAATACACTAGAGGCCATTCTACTGCCGCACTACACACCCCACTTTACCCCAGCGAGGCATCAGCATGAGTTCCGTAAAGTGCACAGCACAACAACAGCGCTTAACGCCATAAATACTCAGATAACTCGTGGCCTGAACCGAAACAGCCACTGTGATAGAACCATTCTAGTAGCGTTGGACCTGTCCAAGACGTTCGATACCGTCAGCCATTCAGGGACTCAAACGGCGAATTATCTGAGTAGTCGTCACTCGTCAGTAACCTTTAGAGACAAATCCAGCAAACCTAGGAAAATAAAACACGGGGTTCCAAAGGTTGGTATCCTTTCCCCACTACTGTTTAACTTGTACATTTCTAAGCTCTGGGAATGGAATTGATGGCTTGTGGTCGAAGTAAACGGTTATCTCGCCGAGATTTCTCACTTCTTCACTGCACGGAGCCTAACCCTCTCCCCTACAAAATCCTCAGCAACACTTTTCACCACTTGGACGAAGGAGGTCAGGGTATTCACGTCGACGACGAACCAATTCCAACGGTGAACAACCAAGATCTCCGGAGTAAATTTCGACAGTCGGAGAGCAGACTGTGGCGCATACAACCGCAATTGTTAATAAAGTACAAAGCCGCAACAACGTCCTCAAGTCGCTAGCCGGCAGCACCTGGGGCAAAAACAAAAAAATGTTGTTGGCAACTGGCCGGCCGGTTCTGAACTATGCAGCGACCTGTGTAGTCGCCGGGGACTAGTAGGACGCAGTGGATGAAGCTGCAGACCTGCCAAAACACGGCACTTAGGACAACGACAGGATGCCTTTTGATGTCGCCGCAACATCACCTGCACGACGAGGTGCTCCCTACCAAGGAGCATAACATAAAGCTCTGCAAGCAGTTTATAGTTGGGAGCCACAGACGTGGTCATCCAAATAGACAACTGCTTGCAGAAGAGCCCTCACCAAGACACCTCAGGATGCATCTCTACGAACTGAAGGACGAAGTCCAGAGGTTCATCAAACAACTTCTAGACCCGTCAGCTTACCGACAGGCTTTGAACGGCATTCTCAGAGAGGCATTCTCGAGTTATATAGACTCTCGACCTGTAAATGCCGTTCTGGGCATACAACCACCAGACGTGGATGAGACAGAGCTTCGTCTGCCTCGGGAGACTCGGACCACAATAGCCCAACTACGCTCTGATTACTGCAGCAGGTTGAACTCATACCTGTGCAGAATAAATGAAGATGTGTTAAACGAATGCCCGCCATGCGGAAAGACGCCTCATGTCTCAAAGCATCTCTTCGCATGCCCACTGGACCCCACCCTATTGATGCCCCTGTCCATATGGACAGACCACATCGAGGCTGAACGCTTCCTGGGTCTACCGCTAGTAGAGCTTGACGACAACGAATGAAGGACTAACCGGACAGGATTGTCGTAGCCGCTGCAACAACAACCACAAAGGTTTCGCCCTCTTGATGGCCTTCGTAAAAACTTTAAGTGCGTCTTTGTAGGGTTGCCAAAGACCTGTTCGCTTGGCTTGATTGAAGAGCCTCCTGCT